ATTCTAAACTAACACGAGTCTCATATGTGTCCAGTTTAAGGGTATTACACAGAAACACACCATGATAACACGAATCAAATATGTACTTTATTCATTTACATTAAATGTCATAATGTACATCGTTCTGATTGGAGCTAAGGGCATACACTGTCTAACACTTCTCACCATCGATTGGGGGGGCTTCCTACAAACCATTGCAAACACCCACAAACCTACTGACCGGAGGCATAGAAACCTCCAAGGGAAGAGGGCGACCACTCCTTTTCAGCCCCTTCCCCTATCTTCAACCGATGATGAAGAAAAAATAAAAAAACCCTAGGCTGAATGCAAGAAAGCCAGAATTCTGGGCAGATTCGATTTTGTCACAGTAGCCCTGATACCATATTATAAACCTAATCTGCACTACAATTCTGTTAGAATTAGGGTTGAAGAAATATTAGAGAGTCTAGAAGAAGTAGAAGAAGAAGAGGGGAGAATAGAGAAGAAAATTCTAGTTCGAACTAGAGAACTAAAATACTCTCTAGTTGGCCAAATTAAATTTATATGTTTCTATCCATAATAACAAAAGACTACTTTGTCCCCACGTAAGTATGGGACACATCATCTAACAGAAACATTACACATCAGCAGCTTCAAACATAAATATAAAGACTAAAATACCCCTACACAGTCGACATTAACACATGACTACTCAGGAAATGGTTGGGATGCCGGGATATCTCGTCGGGCTACCCTCACAACACCTTGGAAAGCCATACATGGTATTCTCCCTCGTTTCTTCAGGTTTGTTAGTATGATGCTTGTTTTGGTAATTCTATTCGGTTCTTAGAGGATATTTGGGTGGGTAACCAACTCCTCAAGGATCGGTTCCCTTCCTTATACTCCCTTTCCCTTTACAAAAATGAGCAAATTTCAAAGTGTCTACTGGAACCGTTGGTTCCCTTATCCTTAAACTGGGACTTTGGGGTTCGAAGGGGTCTAAGGGATGGTGAGTTTACTTGTGTTACTGAGTTGCTTCATTTACTTGAATTAGTTTGTTTGGACCCCACAAAACCTGATGGAAGAGTTTGGACTCCCTTACCTAAAGGTACCTTTACTTGTTCTTCATTTTTAAAATCCTTAAGTTTTAGCCCAAACCCCCGAGAATTTCCTGTTAAAGAAGTTTGGGCAAGACCTATTCCCTCCAAATTGTTTTCCGTTGGGAAGTTTACTGTGGGAAAATCAATACTTTGGAAAACCTGCAGAAAAAAGAGACCTCTTCTTTGTCTTGCCCTAAATTGGTGTTCCCTATGTAAGGCCCAAAGTGAGGACTGCTTCCATTTACTGATATCTTGTTCTCTTGCTGCAGAGTTATGGAATTGGAACTTTAGTTTATTTGGTTATAGGTGGGTCCAGCCATCAGATGTAAGGTTGCTATTTAATCGTTCTATTTTTGGGTGGCATATGAGGAGAGGTAAAATCATGTGGAAATGTCTTAAGGCAGCTACCTTATGGACTGTTTGGGAGGAAAGGAATGCTAGAATATTCCTAGAAAAGGAAAGAAGCTTGGCTGAGTCGAAGGACTGTGTTTTGACAAGAGCAATCCATTGGTTGAAAACCTTGGATATGTTCATATGTTTGCTGATTTTTCTTTTGATGACCTATGGAAGAATTGGTCAGCAGTTGCTAATACCTCTACTAAGAAGAATAAAAGAGTTATAGAATGGAAACCTCCCCTGGAAGGTGTCATCAAACTAAACTTTGATGGGAGCAGCCAAGGTAACCCCGGGCCTTTAGGCATAGGAGGTGTGCTGAGGGATAAGGAAAGCAACATTGTATCCTTATTCTCAGGGCCAGTGGGAGTGGGAGATTCTACAAGGGCAGAACTACTAGCGGCTGTACAAGGTATCTAGATCGCCAACCAGCTTGGGGTGGAATATTTGCTAATTGAAGGGGATTCTCAGGTGGTAATAGGCTGGCTCTCAAACCCGGATGCTGTCATTTGAGGATACAGAGACCTCAAAAAAGTGAAGTGGCTAACTAGTAATACGAGAGTGGATGTTAAATGGGTTTGCAGGTCGGCAAATACTTTGGCTGATTCTTTGGCCAAACTTGGGGTTTCTAGGGAAGATCTTTTTTGTGCTACCTTGTAACTTGTTTTAGTTTGTTGGGAAGCTGTTCTTAACTAGTATGGGGAGGTCGCATACTCACATCTCGTGCCTCTCCTTGGGGAGCTTGTACCTTCTTATCTTTTGTGATTAATAAAATTTGTCATTTATCAAAAAAAAATGATTGGGTTGTGTTAGTTAGCTTTGGGGGTTCAAAAACTTTGGTTAGGTTAGGATTGACCTCAACCTGATGTAACCCAGCTTGACTTGCATCCTTACCAGCATTATTTGATGTCATAGATTGTTCTTCTTAAATGTGGATATTTTTGTCAGTAGTTACAGTTATTTTTAGGATGTTAATGGCTAGAATTAACAACGTTTCTGATTGTTTATTTATTTTGCTAAAAGTCAATCATTTCCCCTTTAAAAATTTACACTGGAGTACTTTTTAGTTTATCTGATGTCTAACAGATATTTTCCCATTTGCCGGATACTGTTGGTGCTTTGGTGGTCCAGAATTTGGATATGGACTTTTATCATAATGGTTTCATTATCTTTAATATGTGAAGGCACAGAGCTAATGTATAACTAAAGCCCAAATCTAATGCAACACTAACATAATTAAAGAGCAAAAATACATGATAATGCAATATATAAGCAACTATATACATGATAATCTGCTAGAAGAATCAAGACTACAAAAGAATTTTTTAGCTAGCAAATTTACTGCAAATTAAATATTTTTCCATTATCTTTAGAATGTTGTTCCATGAATCCTATGTTGCTCTAGGTTGTTCCATTATCTTTGTTTTCTGAACTTTCATCTGAAGATAGTATGAATTTCATGGATTGGGTAGATTGGCCATTTCCTTGATCTATGTTCCGTATGCTAGTTATTGATCTTATCATGCAATTAGCCAAGTCTTAACCATTGGAATTTGAGTGGAGTTTTTAAAATCATTGATTGCATTGATTGTTAAGTCCAATCACTTTCACTGAAATAAACCCAGGAAATAACACCCAACTTCAGACATTCTTTTCTTAAATGTGTTGTTTCCTGTAGTGAGAATGGGCCGATTGGGCCTTAGTTTCTTTATTTCATTTAAGTTATGTTTATGCTTATGTTCTTTGAGTAGTGGGCCTTAGTTATGGGCCTATTTTTCGTTTTTTATTATTTCTTTAGTGCTGGCCACCCGATTAAGGGCATTCGGGGAATTGTACTTAGATTAGAATTAAAGGAAATAAAAGATATCTTTGGGGGCTAGATAGAGGAACCAAACTCTTTTCTTCTTTCTTCCCTTCTCTTCTTCTCTCATCTCTTCCCACAAACTTCTGCTGAAACTTATCTTTCTTCTCTTTTCTATATTTTTTCTGAATTATTACAGTTGTATTTTATAACTTTTCCCTATAGAAGATGGGATTCCAAAAGGTGTCCATGAAAAAATAGGTATAAATAGGGGTTAAGAAGGGAGAGGATAATAAAATAAACTGAATGGATGGTGATATCATGGGAAAAAGTGGATTCGAAATGCCTTCGTATGACTGGAATAGAGCATACATCATTTCAAATAATATCCGTGCATCAGATGTTCTGAAAGGATTCTCCCCGACAAAGGAAGAAAAAGTTGTAAAGTCATACAAACTCAAAGCCAATAAAATGTTTGTAAAAGGAGTGGGGGTAATTTGGAGATGAGGTAGGGACAGGTCCTTATCAGTGTTGGACTTGGTTAGAGCTAAAATCATGTCACTACTTGCTTGGTTAAGTTTAACTTGTTAGATTCGTAATAGTTCGAAGTGGAGGGAGACTCTCAAGTTGCAATAGATGGATGCTAGAGGGTGGAGTCTCCAACACTACATTAATGAAGCTTGTTTTTGATCTCAAGACTGGAGATCTTGTTCAAGTGGGTCCCCAAGATTAGCTAACTTGGTTATGCTTTTGGTAGGGGAAACAAGGGGATGTGTTGGAGCCAGCTCTCCAGAGCAAGCCATTTTTAAGGTAAAAATATTTTATTAAAATAAAAGAAGAAGAAGAAGAAGAAGAAGAAGAAGAAGAAGAAGAAGAAGAAGAAGAAGAAGAAGAAGAAGACAAGAAAGGTGACAATAAGTCACCTGAGAGAAGAAAAAAATCCCCTACACTCAAATTAAAACCAACTCATAACAAGACAAACAACCAATTCCTAACCTCCCAATCTACAAGCTCACATAACCCCAAACAACTCAACCAAAAGCTTGTAGGTCACCTGCTGATCAAAAAAACAAAAAAACAGCTCGTAGATCACAGCAAGGAACCTCTTCACACCAACAAACATCAACAATTATTCAATTACTCAGCTTCATCCGATGCAATTGCAAGAACCTCCTTACTCCTTTTGAGCACTTTTTTAGCTTTCTTCCCCTTTTTGTTATAGGTGCAATACCAAATAAACCACCCTTCAACCTGGTAAAAATTTTAGAAGGTTTTCACCTTTTTGATTGACCTAATACCAAATAAGCCATTTGAAGGATTAAACTTCTGTCACTTGTTTCATTTTTAGATTGAAATCTATTTTTCTAGATTGCCAAGTCTCCTTGATCAAGTTGGTGGAATGGTTCAAGAATATCCATCGCACTGTTGCATTCATGCATCCATTTTCAGTGCTAGATTGTTAATTTGGAGACTTGATTTAATTTTAATAAGCTTTTCCAATGAGCTGTTACATTTATTGTATGTTTCTCAATCATGTTTGGATCAATCAATAAAAAACCTCTAACATTATGTCAATATGCCACTTTCCAGAAGTATTGTAGTTCTACAACAGCTGCTGATCACACTCATGAAGAAAAGAATGAGCACAAGGAGAAGTAAGTTTCTGATATTTCACATGACCCTCAAGACAGGTGAAGGAACCTGGTTTTGTGATGTCTAAATGTTAATGCACTTTTGGTCACTAAACTATACATCTGCCAAACTACCTTCACAAAATATATGGTAGTTGGATGGTTCACTTTCTACACAAAGCAATGGATGTTAGATATGATGTGCTACTGTCCTTGGTTTCTTCGTACCTTTTTTATTTTTTGATAGAAAATGTTTTCTTCATTCCTGTGGCTTAATTTCTATGCAGGGTATCTGTGACATTTTTTTTTATTAATAACAGGATATCTGTGACATTTGTAGACAAAGATGGAGAGGAGAAGCATATCAAAGTTCCCATTGGAATGTCTATGTTAGAAGCTGCCCATGAGAATGACATAGAACTTGAAGGTAAGCATTCTAAGTGTTTTAAACAAATTCCACACATAGTTCCGCAATCTTTGAATTGTGATCATTGTTGTTCTTCGCTTAACTGAAGGGTGAATGTGTACATCAGTTAAAAAACAAAGTTGCAAGGAATTGATATTATTGTTTTTAACATGATTACAGGAGCATGTGAAGGTTCACTTGCTTGTTCCACGTGCCATGTGATTGTGATGGTAAGATAATTCAAGAATTATGTCTATAAAATAATTCTATATTAGAGATATCTCAAATGTTTTCTACTAGGCGTGGCAACGAGCCGAGCTTTTCACGAGCTGCTTGAGCTCGACTCATGAAAAGCTCGTCTCGGCTCGGTTTCAACCGAGCTCGAGCCCAATTCATTGGCTCGATTATTAAATGAGCCGAGCTCAAGCATACTAGAGCGTGGCTCGTGAGGCTCGTGAGCCGGCTCGAATATATATATATATATATTTAATATTTAATATATATATAATAAAATTATAGAAAATAATATATATAATAAAAATATTATAATTATTATAATTCTTAATTTTTTAAATATCAAATAAAAATATTTTTATATATAATTTTTTATTTATATAAAATATTTTTTCTCAAAATCGAGCTCGAGCTTATGAATTGTTGACTTGAGTCGAGCTCGAGCTCAAGGTTTTGGCTCCAATCGAGCTCGAGCCTTGTAGAACAGTCTCGAGCTGAGCTTGAGCCTGGTACTATTCGGCTCGACTCGACTCAATCCACCCCTATTTTCTACAAATATTATGCATTTTTTTGTATATTTTGTGTTTTTTTCTTTCTTTAATTTTTATTATTTAATTATACATAATGGCTTGACCCATTTGACCCAGATGGTTGAATTGCTTACCTGCCACCTAGACAGAAGGACAATTTCATTTTTTGTTTCAATGTTGAAAAAAAGAGATTTAGGGTCCATTTGGTTCATAGACAGGACCGAAAGTAATTTTATTAGTCTACTTATTATTTTCTAATTACTTCATTAATATTTATGAATATATAATAATTATTTCATTAGTACTTTGTTATTATTGTTTTATTAGTATATATTTAATAATTAATAACTTAGTATTTATTATTAATTTATTACATTTTATTATTACTTATTAGTTTATTAGTTTTTATTATTTTGATTATTGTTTTAGAATTAATTTATTATTATTGAATAATTAATATGTTACTATTTTATTATTACTTTAATTATATTATATGTATATTTTATTAGTACTTTATTATTCTTATTATTCAATAAATAATATTTTATCTTTTTATTATTACTTTGTTTTATTATTTTATTAGTATTTATAATTAATTTTTGAATATTTTATTAAAATATTATTATATTATTATTACTTTAATAATAATATTATTATTACTTTAATAATAATATTATTATTAATAATTTATTATAGTCTGATTATTTGATAGATATTGTACTAATATTTTATTATTATTATTACTTTAATTATATTATATTAATATTTTATTATTATTATGATATTTAATAACTAATATCTTTGTTTTTAATTATTAATTTATTAATATTTTATTATAGTACTATTCTTTTATTACTATTATACTAATATTTTGATAATATTTTATTATTTTATTACTACTAAATTATTATTATTTTGTTAATAATTAATTATTTTATTAACATTAGGGTTTGGGGGGCTTTTTGCCATGAGTTATTTATTTTTTGATAAACTCTCGTATGGGAATCCCATTCCCTAGGGGGCGTGGGAGCCTGGAATGGCCATTCCCCCAAGAATGGGAATCGACATCCTATTTCACCATATGGGTGTTAGCACCATAAATATATGACTTAATGAGAGGATTTGAATGAGGTGAAAAATAATAGTTCAAATTACATGTTTTTCCCTCAATTAAAAAGGAACTAAATTCAAATTACATTTTTTTATATTTTCATGTGTATAAAAGTAATTCTTACACTTGTTTTTATTTTATAAGATTAATATACAATATTAGAGACGTGCCCAAATGTTTTTTTTTTGCAAAATTTATGTATTTTTCATTTTTTCTTTTTCAATTTTTATTTTTTAATTATGACATCAAGTATTGACACATTTGACCTAAAAGTTGAATTGTTGACCCGGACCAAATAGGAAATCAACTTCATTTTCTTGGTTGGTTTTAAATTTGTATTTCATTTCCATTATCAATAAAAACAATTCTTGTTTATGAATTTTTTTTTTCTTTAATATGATTAATATAAAATATCAGAGAAAAAGCCCATTTTTTCTACATTTTTTCTTTGTTTTGTGAATTTGTTACTATTTTAAATATTTTATTATTAATTATGATATCATGAATTCACCCAATTAACCGGGATGGTTGAATTAGCTTACCCACCACTTGGATGGAAGAATAATTTTGTTTTTTTGTTAATTTTATAAAAGGATAAATTGTTTAAACCTCCCCTGAAGTTTCTGACCATTGTTGAAATCTCCCATGAAGTTTAGTAATTGCATTCGCCTCCATTGAACTTTCTAATACAGTTGCAAGTAGACCCCCTCTCTTAGAATCCTCTAACAAGAGGGACACAAATGTCCAAAATACCCATGCAATTACTATTGAGGTTGGTTTTTGCATAACAAACAATACAAACTTTATGAACAACAAAAAAAAAAGTTTAAATTGCAACTTTGAGGGATTCATATGAAGGGAAAATTTATAAAATAAATCAATTTCGGAAAAGAGATTGGAAGGGTTTGGGGTCGTGATTGATATGAAGGGAAATTTTGGAAAATAAACATTTTAGTCAAATTAACTACACAGTTATTTTGGACATTTTCATGCCTCTTGTTTGAGGATTATAAGAGAAAGGGTCTACTTGCAACTGTGTTACAAAATTCAGAGGTGATTGCAATTATCAAACTTTAGGGGGGGGGGGGTGTTCAGGAATGGTCAAAAACTTCAGGGGATGTTTTAGAATTTTACCCCTTAAAAAACATGGGTTCATATTGGTAAAAAGTATTTGATAAAGATCTAATTATTAGAATTTATTAAATAAAAAATACCATAAATACAAGATTTAATGTGACAGAATGTGAGTTAATACCTTAAATATAAGACTTAATGAGAGGGAATTAAGTGGTGTTAACAATTGTAAATGATATTGCATTATTAGCCCTCAGAATTAAAGAGGGACTAAATTCAAAAATAGGGGTAGTTTAGTCAAAAGAAAGTTCCACACCCTTATCTTTAATATGTCAAATGCATGATGTTAAAAATCTTTCCAAAATTTTCTTTAACTTCTATATTTTTGCATTTTATCTATTTTTGAATTTTTATTGTTTATTTGTGGCTTTGTGGTAACATGAATTAGCCCACTTGACCCAAAATGGTTTAATTTCTTACCACTGCCTAGATGAAAACACTATTTTTTTTTTCATTTAGATTTTAAAAGTATAAGTTTTTATGTTATTGGAATTATTAATTTATTATGTATGGATTTAATTAGTAGAATTTAGTGATGAAAATAAATAAAAATGCTTTAAATATATGATTCAATGAAAGTGAATGGGAGTTAATACCTTAAATATGGGATTTAATGAGAGGGAATTAAATGCACTGAATAATAGTATTCAAATTACATTTTTTACCCTCACAATAGAGGGATCATATTTCAAAAAAGGGGTATTTTGGTTAAGAAAAATTTCAGAAATTTTAGAGGTTATTTGTCACATTAAGAAAAATTTCAAAAAAGGGGGTATTCAACATTTTCTGTCACATTAAGAAGCTTTGAGACTGATGAATGGATCTTATTTATAGGATGTGGAGTATTACAACAAATTAGAAGATCCCATGGATGAGGAGAATGACATGCTGGATCTCGCTTTTGGTCTTACAGAAACGTATGTCCCTCGTCCCTCGTCCCTCTATTGTGAAGCTTCTTTTATAAGCACCCTCTGCTTTTGATAAGCGCCCTTCTATTGTGAACCATTAAATTTATGAGCTTCTGGTTTTAAGGTATTTTTTTGGGTTTTTGCAGGTCTCGTCTAGGCTGTCAAGTTATTGCAAAGCCTGAACTTGATGGGATTCGCTTAGCACTGCCAGCTGCCACTCGAAATTTTGCAGTTGATGGCTATGTGCCAAAACCACACTAGACAGTTCTTATGAAAAGTGGTGGATAATTTTCCATGTTGTAAGTCATTCAGTTATCTCAGTTTTGTAGTTCTTCATTTTATTAAGGTTCATGCCTATATCTGGTCATTATTTATATGATGCTCGGTTGTTGTTATATTGTTGAATCATTTATAGTTTCCTAATAAAATTGGTTAACTACAATATTAACATCCGAAGTTTTGATTGGAAGGCCATGACCATTTTTGATTATTTGGAAAAGTACTTGTCTAGCATGACGGTCAAGTCCAATGGTATTTTTAATCTTTAGCATCGATTATTGTTTCCAATCTGCAGCCAAACCAGCCAGTCAGACTGGTGAACCTGACTCCTTAGGGGAGGGAGGCACACCTTGGCTTGGCCCACGGGTCAGCAAGGCATGACCCACACTTTGCATGGGTTACATGCGGGCCATGCCGTGCCGGCCAGATTTACACCTCTACCTATCATCCATTTAGATTTTTAGCTCCATTTCGCCTTTGAGGTTAATCATTGGTTCAGTCACTTGGCCCTGTTGATTGAGTTACTGAACTGTTTGACCTCTGCTCAACAGCTCATGTTTTTGTATTTTTAATTATTTTTAATATTAAAAGTAACATTTTTTATTTATCACACTTATTTTTGTTTATGTGAATATGTAATATTACAGAGATGTCCATTTTTTTTTTGTAATTTTATCTATTTTTTTAATATTTGAAGTTGCATAGTATCATGAATTGACGACCGATACTATTGGACCACTGACCACACCACCTGAACACGAAAGTAGTTCCATTTCTCAGGTCGAATTTTTGAGACACTGGCATTGATATACAGAAAAAAAGAAGCATTTATTTTCAACAAGCTGCGGCTATGTATTTCAATTTTCAATTGGGCCCTCCCATTAGGCCTTGACAGTCACCGTCACGTTAAGTATTTCGTTTGCAGCGGAAATTCCTGGATGGTATTCGAACGTCCTTGAGCCCAGGGCAAAATCTATGTTGCTGGAAGGACATGATAATGGAAAAATTTACTGTGAATTTTGATAAATACTACCTGATTGTTTATGACTTTTATGATATCAGTTCATTGGTTATTAGTTTTTTCGGTATCATAACTGAATCAGATCACAGGCAGAGCTATAAAACAAATGGGTTCAATTATGAAACCAAAGAGACATGATATCGGAAAAAAACTCAAAACCAATGAACCGACATCATAAAAGTGGTGACCAAGCAGATAGGTTTTCATTAAAATTCGGGGGAGGGGTTGATTGGTCAAAGCATTTCGAATGTCATGTCTCGCATTTCCAATCAGTAAGCAGGGTATTGGGGTTTATATATAATAAATAAAATAAACGAAACAGGATAGAAAACATCACTTTTTCTTTCTTTCTTTTTTTTTAAGAAACTCTTTTCCTTCATTTACCTAATCAACCCATAATATTTATTAGGGTTCTTATTTTTTTGATAGTTCTGGAAAAGATATAAAACAACTCATTTACATCATGACTCTCGGTAGGGCAACTTCAAGCATCGAATAAAAAGAATAATAGAAGTTTATAATCTAAAATATTTGAGTTGAAAACCGATAAACTGTGACCAAGGTTGGCGAGTTGATCTGCTGCAAAGTTTGCTTCCAGCATGTTGCCTGCAGTAATATCAAGACTTCGGCTTCTTTGAATCTCTTGGCATTTGTTGATGATTCTTGCAATGCTCCATGGGGTTCCATTCTTCTCGAAAGGCAGTTGATGACAATACTGGAATCTCCTTTGCTTACGAGTTTTGCTTGAGGGAACTTGGTAGCAACCTTGTGGGTTTCAAAAGCAGCCCACGCTTCTGCTTCATTTGACGAACACTCTCCAATGTCACGACAGCTAACCCAAACTGTTCTACCATAATCATCTCTCATGATAGCCCCAACCCTGCACCTACCCTCACTATTTCTAGAAGCGTTAAAATTGACTCTAAGAAAGCCTCTACCCGGGTGTTTCCATCTTATGAAAACAGTTTGATCTTCTCGTTTAATAGCCATTTGATTATTCAATCCTATATGGAATTCTGATTTTATTTTTTCGAGAAGGAGATGACTTGGGATGGTCTTATTTTGATAAACTTTATGCCCTACACTTTTCGGTAAGTCACTTACTTGGGTAAGTAATTGTATCTTAGGAAAGACTTAACCCGGGTAAGTGCATTTACTCATGTAAATAAGGCAATTACCATCTTAGCCATAAAAATTCCATTATTAAAAGGGGCATTTTTGTCCCATCCAAGTATTGGAAACCTTCCCCTAGGTGGGAAAGTTAATTTACCCACCTAGGAGATGGGTATCACTTACCCGGGTAAGTGATGGCCAGGAAAATAAACTTTTACCGGTCCCCACATAAATATGAAAAATGAGTATGGGTTTCTTGGTCAATGGAAATCAAAATCCCATTGACCAATTCCCCCCCCCCCTCTCAAAATCCCAAAAAAAAGAACGCCCCCTTACTTTTGATGAACATACTTTCTCTTCCATAAATTCCAGAGCGTAATGCTCACAACCCCTGGAGTGGTCCATATATTTCCTGATTTTTTACTTTGCCACTCTATCCCACCATTCCACAAGCGTCTCCCCAGAATTAGGCTTAAGACTGTTATCATATTTGTATTGAATCATTACAATGAATAAACAGATGATTAACATTCTCATCCTATAATGGATAGCTTAGGTCATTACTAATTCCCCATTTCATCAGCCTGTCCTTAGTAAGAATTCTTCCTTTTAGAGGGCATTGCAGCTTCCAAACATTTCTTAGCCTAGTTTCTATGTTCTCATTACTTGTATTTTCTTCCATCATATTATATGCCAACTTAATAGAGTATTGGCCTTTACTATCAGGTTTCCAAATCATATTATCTTCCTCTGTCCCTCGATGGAATTGAAATAGCCCTAATCTTTTTCCAAATCATATTAGGGTACTTCTTAACTTGCTTACTTGAGGCTTAGACAATATCTCGCATATGTAGAGAATAGACCTGTTCACGGGCTGGGCTTCGGGCCCAATTTTACACTGTCATGGACTCGGGCTTCAGGCTGGGCCCATTAGAATGTAGTTCACGCATGAGAAAAAAAGGATTTAGTGATTTACTGGGGATGCATCAATCTGGGGTGGGAAATGCTTCAAGTGGTTAAGGATGACCATGTGCATTAAGCTATTGTTAATCTTATCGCCATCGGTAACTGGTTTCGTAATCTTTTTATACACTTCCAAATATCCCCTTAATGCTATGTCAAATATGGCTGCAATTTTTATATTAGTCAATTAATATAGTTTGGACCCTACCTTCAAAAAAATATATATGGTTTGAACCCGACTACATTAGTAGTGTAAATATTGGAGTCACCTTCTAGAGTTTGAACATTTATTTCTTGAATTCTTGAATATCTAAGATCAATTCTTAAATGCAATGCAATCATCATTCATCACTTAGACCCGAATGGGTTGAATGATCAGACGCTAACCAGAAAAGACCAAAATACTTTCCCCCATCTCCACCTTTCCCGTCTCTAACATCATCATTCTTCAGGGTTTCAGTGAGCAGACCCTGAATGATTTGAGATAAGGTGTGGATAGAACTAGAGCGGTAGATGATCATCTTTGGTAGGAGACTTTTTCGGGATCACAAAATCGTATGGTTTTCCGAAAGGTGTTGGGATTGAAATTCCTTATTAACAGTGAGCAAATCAGCAATATAAATGAGAAAGGAGAAATAATAAGTAATAGTCAAAGAAAAATAATCAAATATCACGAGAGAAATAGTACATCAGAATTTTTAATGTGGAAAGCCTCTCTAACGTGAAGAATAAAAACCACGGGGCACTAATCTAGAAATTTTCCACTAACAAGAAATATAATGGAAATTACAATTACTCTATTTCCAAACTAGAGAATAGCAACTTCAAGATACAAGAATCTCTCTTGGATATACAAAATAACCATTGAACAAGATATATTTCAACCAATAAACATGAGATGAGAAAGATCTCACCAAACAAGTTGCCCAAACCCTCTCCAAAACCACTGTTTAAGAGCCAAGAAAACACAATAAAAGCTTGACGAAATAAGTGTAAAACAGCAGCCACAATGGTTGATTGAATGTGCTCTTGTTCACGTATCAAAAAACTTGAATATCTTCTTCTTGTAAAAGAGGAATTTCCTTTCTCATTATATTCTTCTCTTTTTTCTTTTTTTTTTAATTTTTTTCTTTAAAGAAGATACTAAAAGTCAAAGGATAGTGGAGAGTGGATTCCACCATCTATTAACATAAAACAAGACAAGACAATTTGTCTATAGGACAAGAGATCCCAAAACCCAACACAAGGTAGGTCTGCACATTAAACATTCTAATGAATTTTATTTTTATTTTTATTATTGAGTAGTGAGCTATACAATAAGTGTAGCCCTCCCTCAAACCACTACCTTAGACCCCCCAACCCCAGTGAAGACGGGAATCAATGAGTCTGGATTTGCTCCTCATACAAAGCACTCCTCACACCAACCTTACAGCTTGTCTCAACCACACATCAAGAAATTTCCTATATACATTATTATTCATGGGGGATGTTTCCAATATAGGGTGGGATGTGGTTGTGAGGTCGGTGTGGAAAATCCCAATTCGGGCTAGATCCAAGTAACAGGAAAAAGTTAGATGCTTAATGTGAAATTATAGTCATTCTTGTTTGTTGTAAGACAATAAGCTTCTGATATGGAGTGTATTGAGTGAGCCATCATGGTAATAGAAGCTCATTTGTTTGGAAAGACGCTTGAGGGTAAATCCAGGCCAACTAAGATTCAAGCCCCAGGCTCGAGGGTAAAGCATTTTTATGAGAAAATAATTTAAATTCTGTTCCATATCTGTATCAGATTTACGTTTAAATCGTTTACAATCCCATTCCATGAGCAACTATCTCTTGTCATCAAGCTTCATGAAAATTTTCTCTTTTTTTCTAATCCAGTTTAGAATGGTCAACAGTTTTAATCATGCCATGGATTTGCTTTTATGGAAATCCAAACAACTTTCTTAAAAATCCATTGCAAACACCAAATTAAGTTTCCCATATTTCACAAAAGCAAGAAAACTGTAAATTTTCTTAGAAACCCACCTTAATTGATTATCTTTGAATCATATAGAATATTTCTG